TTTAAACTTTATAGCGGAAGGACATCTGTGAGCAGAGAATAAGTCGGCACATAATTTGATTTTAGGTGAATTTCTGTAATCGTCCATTGTTCTGCTGGTGATAAGTTAGCCGTTGTTCACTCGTTTTGCTTGCTTGGGGCTGAGTCTTATTCCGGTCAATGAGAGAGAAAGAGTGTTTGGCAAGGTTTCGAATCAAAGATTTGTGAACTCGTGTCTGGCAAACTCTCCAAGTGTTTAGATATACACAGTTATACGCACCTTATAACTTGCGCTTAACGAGTGTCTTTTGGTCCATAACTTTCAAAACAACTGCTCCACAGAATGTCACTGATGACACGTAACGCAAAAGAGTATCGAAGTATGACTGCACAAATCTACCTAAGCGTTCCCTTCGAGATTTTCTTTCTTTACGTCATCCTAACCATTTCGTACTTGCGGGCGCAAACAATAGAAACGTCATCATTACCTACCGATTCCTCGCGGCCCCTGTTCAAGCAAATCTCGATTTTTTCTAGCATACACTCTTTTTTTTTTATAAGAATGTTGTTTTTCCGGCCCAGGCTGAATATTCTTATTTTTCTGCCGATTTTAGGCTGAAAATATTCTTGTATTATTCTTAAATNGGGGCTGAGTCTTATTCCGGTCAATGAGAGAGAAAGAGTGTTTGGCAAGGTTTCGAATCAAAGATTTGTGAACTCGTGTCTGGCAAACTCTCCAAGTGTTTAGATATACACAGTTATACGCACCTTATAACTTGCGCTTAACGAGTGTCTTTTGGTCCATAACTTTCAAAACAACTGCTCCACAGAATGTCACTGATGACACGTAACGCAAAAGAGTATCGAAGTATGACTGCACAAATCTACCTAAGCGTTCCCTTCGAGATTTTCTTTCTTTACGTCATCCTAACCATTTCGTACTTGCGGGCGCAAACAATAGAAACGTCATCATTACCTACCGATTCCTCGCGGCCCCTGTTCAAGCAAATCTCGATTTTTTCTAGCATACACTCTTTTTTTTTTATAAGAATGTTGTTTTTCCGGCCCAGGCTGAATATTCTTATTTTTCTGCCGATTTTAGGCTGAAAATATTCTTGTATTATTCTTAAATAAATCCTAGTGCTGTTTTTGTTTGGCTAGGTTTTGTTATTTAAAAAGGAAAGAATTTGTCTTAATACTTTTTTGCGGTTTAGTTTATGTCTTTTGTGCTGAATACTGTACATATGTATTACATGTACCGTTCATCGAACTGTCATTAGCGTTGAACATTTTGCTATGGCTAATGCAGGTTTTTTCGTTTTGTTGGCTAGTTTCGCCGTTCAGAGAAAGGAATAATTTTATGCGGTTAGGTTAAAAACATAAAATTGTATTGTATTTACAGATGTTTCAACAAACGAAATTATATCTGTCCTTTTCAAAATCTCAGCCTCGGCTTTATTCTTAAAATATTCTTAAAATTTCGCAAATTTCAGCCTCGATATTCTTATAAAATATATTCTTACAAAAAAAACGAGTGTACTGACTGTATATTTCAACTGTAAGTACTTTCCTTAATATACGCGCGAGTTACTAGAGTGCCTCCTCGGGATTTCGCCTTCTGGGCGAAATCCCTGCGGGGGCAATCACGAGAGTATAAAGGGGCTAGTCTCTTGTCTAAACACATCAATACCCTGTACAGCTTGCTAAACCGTACTGCAGTTCTAGATTTGTTTGTCAGCCTTTTTTCAATTATAACTTTTTTTTAACTAGGTAGCAAAATAGGCATTTATGGTTTATAAAAACTTGCTTAAGGTATTGCTGCTGGGCATTCGCTAGCAGGTTTTAGCTGCCTTATTCTCAGGGCCTAGCTAAATGGGGAACATAATGGGAAAATTACTAGTTAGGGATCGAGTGCGTAGGAAGTTTGTTCCCAAGCTTCACTTATAAGCTTGCCTACGATCCACATAGAGTCGGCGTACGAAGCAGAGGTTCTAGTACTGACCTGAAGCTTGTAATTTAGTTTTTTTACTAGAGAACATGGAGAACTGTCTGTATAAGCTACAATGGAAGCTTGCAGCAGTAATAATGCATTGATGGCCTACACATTGGTCCTAGAAAGACTTGGGCAAACCTAAAAGCGGACCTCCCATAAGAAAACAAACCGGATAATAGAGGAGAGATTCAAAGGATCTATAAAGCGAATGAACAGCTACATCGTTATATTCAAGCTTGTGTAAGGTATTAAGCTTTGCAAAAGTGCACATTCTCTCTACTCGGGTAAATATAATAAGAACAATAGTAATAATAATAATAATAATAATAATAATAATAATAATAATAATAATAATAATAATAATAATAAAAATAATAATAATTAACAATTATTCCTTGAGCCCGAATGGGCTTTTCTATTTAGCAATATGTGGGAGTGTAGATGCAAACATAAGGAAGAGATGGACAAAAGTAGGAAATGGTTTAAGTTAGATCCTGATCAATGCTTCAACCATCAGTCCTGACACACACAATATGGTTTGTGAACAATGCGAACAATTGAAGGCAACGTTGGACGAGATGGAAGAAAGTATAAAGAAACACTCCGGCCATCTTTACAGCCAAGAACAAAAGCATGATCTTTTTTACGATTTTGAAAGATCTAAGAATAGCATTTTTCTTTGGAAATCTCATGCCTTACGTTCTGTTAACCAAAAATCTGCTAAACAAGAAGCCGTCCAATCAGTCCTTGTTGTTAATGACTGGGCGATGAAATTTCTTCAAATAAAATACAGAGAAAAACAAAGTGAATGGTTTGCTAAAAGAGGCGTTAGCTGGCATATAAGCAGTGTGATCTCAAAAGACCAAGAAACTCAGAAATCTAAGGTCCTGTCGCATGCCCATTTATTAGATTCGTGTTGTCAAGATTGGTTGGGGTTGTATCTATTTTAGAAAACCTTTTTCAAAACATCAAAGTAAATTTTCCAAATGTTAAGCAGGCATTTCTACGTTCTGACGAGGCTGGCTGCTACCATTGCAATCAGCAGCAGTCAAAGATATTGGACATCGAGTGCGAATTACAGTTGCACGTTATGATTTTTCAGAACCCCAGCAAGGAAAGGTTGTTTGTGACAGGGTGCTTTGTCCCATGAAAGCAGCAATAAGAAAGTACTGCGCGGAAGGCCATGACATCATGAACGTAGGAGCAATGCAAGAGGCGCTTAAGGAACGGCCTGTCAAAGGAACAACAGCGGCTGTAGCTTTTTTGGATGAGTCATCCAAAATTCTTGAGGTTCAGAAGATAAAACAATTTAATGAGCTGCACAACTTTAGATACGAAAAGAGTGGGATAAGAGTGTGGAAAGCTTACGCTGTTGGGGTCGGCAGGCTTATCCCTTGGCAATCTTTGTACATATGGCACCAGGGTTGCACAAATATATCATTAATGGAGGGAAAAGGATTCTTCACCAACACAGAAATAAGAGACCTTCATCGCCCAAGAAAGTGTCAAACAAGTAAAGACGACGTTGAAATTGATGATCAGCCATCGATGTTTGTGTGCCCTTAAGAAGGCTGTAATTGCACTTTTGACTCTGTCTCCGAACTTGAGGTGCATACAGACGTAGGAATACATGATACTTGGAAGTCGGGAAGTCTTTATGATAAAGTACGGAAAAATTGTGCTGAAAAATTTTCTTTTATTGAGAACCAGAAGTTAACAAGCAACAAATCCTCCACTGGTCTGACTATTAACAGCACAAGTTCTCGTCTAAGTATCGGATGGGCTCTTAACAAAGGTAGAACTGGCGGAGTTCGTTTTTCTGAGAACGTGAGACGGTACCTTACAACAAGGTTTGAAATGGGAGAAAGAACGGGCAAAAAAGCCAATTCAGAAGTGATCGAACGTCAAATGCGCAATGCCAGAAATTAACGGAATGAAAGATTGTTTCAAAGAGAGGAGTGGCTCCCCAAGACCCAAATAATGTTTTTTTTTTTTGTTTTTTCACGCCTCGCTTCACGTCAGAGAACTCGCGGTCAGGATGCAATATCAAAGGAACAGACATTTGATATTANCCAACACAGAAATAAGAGACCTTCATCGCCCAAGAAAGTGTCAAACAAGTAAAGACGACGTTGAAATTGATGATCAGCCATCGATGTTTGTGTGCCCTTAAGAAGGCTGTAATTGCACTTTTGACTCTGTCTCCGAACTTGAGGTGCATACAGACGTAGGAATACATGATACTTGGAAGTCGGGAAGTCTTTATGATAAAGTACGGAAAAATTGTGCTGAAAAATTTTCTTTTATTGAGAACCAGAAGTTAACAAGCAACAAATCCTCCACTGGTCTGACTATTAACAGCACAAGTTCTCGTCTAAGTATCGGATGGGCTCTTAACAAAGGTAGAACTGGCGGAGTTCGTTTTTCTGAGAACGTGAGACGGTACCTTACAACAAGGTTTGAAATGGGAGAAAGAACGGGCAAAAAAGCCAATTCAGAAGTGATCGAACGTCAAATGCGCAATGCCAGAAATTAACGGAATGAAAGATTGTTTCAAAGAGAGGAGTGGCTCCCCAAGACCCAAATAATGTTTTTTTTTTTTGTTTTTTCACGCCTCGCTTCACGTCAGAGAACTCGCGGTCAGGATGCAATATCAAAGGAACAGACATTTGATATTACAGCAGATGAGGATGACGACATCGACGCCCTCATTGGAGACTCTGATCGCAACAATTTGCTTGACGATATTCAAAGCAGAATTGGACTAGAGCATCCGATAGTATATGACACATATGATCTTTGCGCCTATCACAAGGAAGGAAAGCTACAGGCCTTCAATGTTGCAATGCTCAAGACTATTCTTCGCCACTTTGAAGTACCTTTCCGAGAAAAAGATAGAAAGACAGACTTTATTAGGTTGTTAACAGAGGTTATCCAAGAATGCAACTGCTGAAAAGAGTCGACTGTCCCTTTTATCAAACAAAAGGGACAACAATATTTCTTCTTGTAACTGAATCAATAAAGCTTTCATTGTGCAAGTCTTAGTTAATTTGTTTTCGAAAATTCTTTGGCAGGTTGAGTTTTTTCGCATTTGTTATGTGACTTTTACGCGATGACATGAAACGGTGACGCTTAATACGATAAAATATTTTAATAATCTAATTGTTTTCTGATAAATCCGCCAAACGAACACTGTCAAGCTCACTTCACTCACTGTTCATCACGGAATAACCAAAGTTCGAAATATCAAAATTCCATCTTGAATTCAAGGCTCCCTCTCTAACTGTCCAGACTGTCTCGGAATTCCCAGAAGAGACTAAAGCACAAAGAATAACAAACCAAATACAGACTGAAATATGACCATAAAGACTCATGCTAGAATTTTCATATATCGAACCTAAGCTATTGACAACGTGTAGCATGGCCTATCATATTTGTGATTTAAGTGGGTGGTTGATTCATCACGCCTTAATAATGTACTATGACCTACTATTACTAAAGTTGCTTACGTTGAGGTATCTAGACATTGTACACATTTCCCCGTTTTCAAGCGAAAATAGCAATCAGTTTAGTCGTGATGGGAGTTCATAAACACGTAATTAAAATGTGGAGTAGACGTGAATAGACACCCTATTCTGGTTTTTGATTTCTCGGCTTTTAGGGTACAATCCTCATTTTCACAATTTATCTTTAAGGATTACCGTGTACGCTCGTCCCCTACAGCGTAAAGGTCAATTCGTGAAGGACTTGCCCGCTGTAAAATGTAAAAACTTAATTTTATCAGTAAAAAAAAAATGTTCCCTAAAAACGCAACCGCTGTATGTCGAATAAAGAACGTACGGAAGGGCGAGACTAACAAAGGTTAGTGGCAAAGGTAAGTAAATTTAATGGTGTATACTTCTGTTCAGTTTTCTTGTAAATAAAGTAGAAAAAAAGTTTCCTAATGGCATTTTTAATTATTTTTAAGCTTAATAATATCAATAATTATAGCAAAATATTGCAACAAGCAAATGCGATGGCTGACTTTCTGGTCCTTTCTTAAGTCTCGCCCTGTAACTACGCTTCTAATGAACCCACCAAATCGTGTCACATAACGCTAAGGTAGCAATAAAACGATTTATTTAGTAAATTAAAATTTAAAAAGGTTTGGCTGCTGAACTTTTAGGAATATAATTCTGAAAATATATTTATTGAAAAAGGAAGAAGAGGGAAAAAAAATGTTTTTCGGTTAAAAAACATGTTTTACTTCCAAGTGGCAACTATTTGGAGAATTTACTGTCAAAACAGCCGCTGTCACGCAACGCGAATTCTGCATCAATATGCAAGTTTGAGTCGAAACCTTCAAGCCTGAATCACGTTGTGCCACAAGTTTTATTGCATAAATTGATAGAATACCTCTTTATCTTTAACCAAAACATGTTTTTAGGTCTAGGTTAGGTGCCACTTTAAAAAATTTTATGAAGTTCCTGAGGCATAGTTTGGCGCAGTTTTCTTCCTTAATTGAATTACGAGAATAAAGATAACCTGTTTTTGCTGATTACAGAGAGATACGACTAAATCGTATTGAAACAGTAAGAAAAAACAATATACTTCCAAATGAATGCAAATGGTCTAGGTTTTAAAGGCCCCGTTGTAGCTTTTAACGATCGTTAAAAAAGATGAATAACAGCGTCTAAAATTTGCATATTTTAGCCGGTAACGGTCGTTCAGAGATAAAATGCTGAGAATGGCAGTAAAATAAACTATTTCCTCATTCTAACTGCAATTTAGTTATAAGGATGGATAGTGGTATTGATGATATAAATATAAGGCAAAAGTGTTTTCGAGTCTGAAATCGAGTGGAACGCTTTTAGGGACATTGCCTCTTAAATGCGGACGTAACCACTCAAACTGTTCGGTAATCGAACTTTATCGAACTCAACAAACCTAATCGAACCGGTTAGTATAAAAGACGGACCGCAGACTGCGGACCACGGACTGTGGACTGTTTATAAAACACGGACGAGGTATAAAATGCAGACTAGAAACTACGGAGTGAGTATAAAACATTGACTACAGACTGTGTACATAAAAACAGCTTTTAAGTTCGCCAATAGTTGTAGTCGAAGTAGGTGAAGCAACAACTGAAAAGGCCCGTCACCGGCGGGGAGAATTAAAAAAAACAGAGCCCTGTAACATCTCGTCTATTTGCTTATCAAGTGCCCCGGCCCCCCTTCACGCTCTCAAAATTTGCAAAGACGTCTTTTTTTAAATTTCAAAATAGGTGACAGTGTACCCTTTAGTCAAAAAACTTACCATAAGGACATGACCCTGCTGTCAAGGAGAAGTCGTCAATTGCTATGTCACCAGTGAAACTGCTTCCCACTACGCCTTCAAATGTTACCTGTCAAAGGTGCAATCAGTCCGGAAGAGTCGCTGTTGTTATTAATGTCTTGAAATTAATGAAAAATTATCTTCGAATTTGTCAAAAAACTACAAACTTAACAATAGAAATAAGGAAATGTCGGAAACACCAAGTGCATCATATTATGCACTACATTTATGGACTTACTTGCATCACTATGAGTAAGAAAGAATAATCTTGCTATGACTAAACAATGTTACCAAACGGTACTATCACTTATATTTCATGTGTGCTTAATTTATAATTAATGGTAAAGATGAAGCATTATAACGGATGTAGTCTTATCGACTTTTTTCGTTTTTCATTACAGACCGAAGTACAGAAACTTATGGCTAAAGCAAGATTCGGAGAACATAGACCCGAGAACCGAATGACGTCCTCTAGATGGTGGACCTGCGCACCCTTCAGACCAGAAAAGTCTTGTTACTGAACGTGCTTGCAGTAAAACTGAAATTACTACCACTTAAGGATCGCAGATAGGAATCTACGTAGTTTATATAAATTTAACTAAATAACCGCGAATGATGGCCAGGATTGGCGAAAACTATCAGTTGTAAACAGTTGTAACATACTTTCAACGGTAAGCACAATAAAGTCAACTATTGATGGCTTATGGCTCCCAACCCGGTTGGCTTCCCTAATTACCGCTCTCAGAGAACGGCGTTTTACCACCATTGATGGGGTCATTAAAGTTTAAGAATGGTTGTCACAGAACAACTCTGACAGCCAAATTGCAGTCTACTATCATCCATGTAACCAAAACACTAATAATCATGAAAACCACAAGTTGAAGTTTGTGAAAGGAGAGGAAAATCTTTCATTAAGTATTCTAAAGGGCCTTCTATTAAAAATGTTTCGAAGAAACACTTCTTATGGCAATGTCATTTACACGGTAATTCAGTTAAAGGTTACGCGAAAATGACCGGAAGAGCTCCTTTTTTACCGATTTATTCTCACGAAGTAGATATATGAAAAGGGTGCAACTTTTTAATGGAAGATACACGAAAGGGTACCTTTTGTCAAAAATAGTACGTATAAGGGCAAATGTGAGTTTTCTAATTTCTTCCTGTTTCAATGGCCAAAATGATTATTAGTGTTTTGTGCGCTGTAGATCAATTCAAAAATGCCCGATTTTTTGCTCGTTTGCAGACACTGAGTTTAGGTCAGATAAAATAAGAAAATTTTAGTCTTGACGGTGGCTACTTAACAAATCTTATAGTTTTAGAAAGTAGTTCTGTGATGTGTTGTATCGCATACAAAAAATAAACTTCGCTCGTTAAATTTTGAAGGTTCTGTGAGTTTCAGAAAATGGTGAAAATTTGCTTATAAAAATGGCGTCCAAGGGGGTCGAATAAAGTGATGCTCGTTTCTCTAATACAAGAGCAGTGAAGAACCAATGTTTGGTATATTTGTCCATTACTCCACCAGACCTATCTATGATGTTAGTATGAACTTATTCTGTTGACCCCCTTCCGTTAACATTTTTAACATTTTGCCCGGTTTTCTCTGACAACCACTCTTAAATTCTAATTTTACTTTCAATATTTTCATTATCCTAATTTATTGTTAAGCAATGAGTTGATAAAAATAAAGATTCGGTTGTTGTTATTGTTGTTGTTAGAAGAAACACAAAAATAACGCATGGCTTACCCTATGCAATCCCTCGATAGCTGATACATTTACGCTGGCTTTACGCCACATGTCTCTTTTATCACCACGTGCAGAGAACACTAAGTTCCCACTTACGGTGACATTCAGGCTTCCAGTTGTTGCACCAGACATATGGTAATAGAACTGAAGGCACATATTCCCAAAGAATTTCATTAGAGGACTGTACAATTTTGCGTTATCACCTGGTTGTCTTGGGCTGGATGCTTCTATATACATGTAATAACCTTATAGGGATGAAGATGGTAAGAGAGTAGCAACTTAGTCTTTTCGTTAGAGGACAGTCCAATTTTTTTCATATCATCCAGCTCTCTCCTGTGGACTAAATATTTCTAAAAAATTCACATGTTATAACCTACAAAGAGGAAAAGATGTAAGGAAGGCAACAAGGAAAAAAATTGACCAGAAGGCACTGAAAAAGTATCCATTTGACTTAAAACAATATTCTAACAACGTTAGTTCAGCTTAAATGACGTACTGGAATGATATCTGAAGTACCTATTAGTAAGTTCCCAAGTTTCCTTTTATTCGTTTTATTTTTTTTCTTTGAAGACAGACGTATTATTCATGGTAGAATAAGAGGGAAAATGACAACATAGCCCAGGATGTAAAGAGTAACTGCAACCTTGTAGTTGCACCGATCCTAAGAGGTAGTCGAAATTAGATACTCTCGCTTACATTTAATACACCTGTGCAACAAAAAAAAAACAAACAAAAACGAGCAGTTTAAAGGGGCTATGTCACTCCTGACGCATGCGCGAGTTAATGAAAACAAACTTGAAAAAGTCGGCCCGACTTTTTCAAGTTCTGTCGGAGATTTTGGAAAGCTGTTTTTATCTGTCTAAATCTCAGCCATTGTTTGATAGTTAGCGAAGTTTTGTATTAAGAATCGTTCTATGGTGATTACAAAAGAATTTTTTGGCGTTATTTTGAAATTGTTTGCCCGTGGAATTTTTT